AACACACCCTAGGACCGTAGGGTGTGTTCCATAAGATGGACCTCTCCATAAGGCTCACCAAATTTTAGGAGAAGAAAGCAGATAATTTTTTCCTGTTTTCTTCTCCTAAAAATTTGGTGCGTCTTATGGAAAGGTGCGTCTTATGGAGCGAAAAATACGGTAGTTTTGTTACAAAGACAAGCATCTCTTTCCTTTCATTTAACCATTGTGGTTCACTTAAAAAAAATTATTTATTTATTTATTTATTTATTGGACTTATATACCGCCCCATAGCGCTACAAGCACTCTCCGGGCGGTTTACAATTTTTTTAATTATACAGGCTACACATTGCCCCCCCAGCAAGCTGGGTACTCATTTTACCGACCTCGGAAGGATGGAAGGCTGAGTCAACCTTGAGCCGGCTACCTGGGATTTGAACCCCAGGTCGTGAGCACAGTTTTAGCTGCAGACAAGCATCTCTTTCCTTTCATTTAACCATTGTGGTTCACTAAAAAAATATATTTGCTGCAGTGCTTTGCAAACGTCCCCTCTCATAAAATCAGCAACCAATGAAACTGAGTGTTGGAAGGTATACTAATCACAAAAGAGCATCAAGGGTATTCAAAATATGCCTTCCATGAAGTTATGAGTGAGAAAGGAAGCAGGCTCCAAGCTCCTCTAGTTTTGTTCTTTGAATGCCTGAGCTAAACGTAAGTGGAGGTAACCAGATATGTGAAGGGTCCTGATTAGGAGCCATGATGATTGATGGCTGAATGATCACATGATCATAGCATTCTACATATACAGTGAAAATAGATGCAATGAGGCTGCTGGAGCTGAGTGAATCCAATGGAAGCAGACCTCCTGCACCTAATCCTAAAACCTCCAGTGAGATGGCTTCTAGGGTCATGGCTGCTGTGTAAGGTTTCCTTTGTTGTTGGTTTTACTTTATTTTATTCTTTGGTTGGTTGGTTATTGGTGATGGTGAACTTTTTCCAATAAATAAAACATAATGGGCTTGTGGAAAGGAGACACACCGGAAGAATACACTGATCTATCAGTTCTTATACATAGTTGAGGACATAACATATAGAATAATACAAGTGAATATCCAGATAATAGAATATACAGCTAATAATGAAAATGATTGCAAGTATTCCAGATACAGTATTTTCTCTTTGTCACATTGTCATTTGTATCTGATATCTGAGAATACAGCAAATTATATGCAAGAAAAAGCATACAAACCAACACAACGGGGGGGTGTCTGCCATCTTCCTCCTTCACACATTATCTTCTGTGGTCCTTGGAGCACAAAAGGTTCCACACACTTGTAACCAACCTCTTCACCATTCTTGTAGTTTCTCATCTCTGTTATGTTGACAGCATTTGGAAGCTGAGGTGGTGGTGGGCAGAGTCCTTGGATGAAACATACATTCCATTTAGAACTGAATGACGCAAAAATTATCAGGAGAATCTTGAAAGAATATTTAATGAAGTATTAAAAGTAAGTAACTTTACAAGCTTCCTTGCCCTACAATGGGTTCAAAAGTACCATTAAATAGCTACTTTGGTCATAGTCCAGTAAAATTTTACCTGGATACCTTGTTTCCCTGAAAATAAGACCTAACCTGAAAATAAGCCCCAGTATGATTTTTCAGGATGCTCGTAATATAAGCCCTATCCCCAAAATAAGCCCAGTTAAGTGAAGCCCCACCCTTCACCATTGTGCAGCAACCAAAAGAAGATGGCATGACTATAAAATAAAATATCCCCTGAAAATAAGCCCTAATGTGTTTTTGAGCAAAAATTAATATAAGACCTGTCTTATTTTTGGGGAAACATGGTAGAAGAAATGTTAAGATCTGTTCCAACAAGATGTCCAACCTGCATTAGAAAGTTTCCTTAGAAGGCAAGATGGTGAGCATCTAACTTATTCCATGGAAAGAATTTATATTGATCTCTACCTTTCTGCCAGAACAGAAAGTTGAACAAGTATCTTAACCAATGCAAGAGTTAGATTAGATGGTACTTTCAATACAAAGATGCAAACATGCACTCATATGTGGTCAAAGCCATCTGTTGTGATGATCTTCACCTTGATGTTGCTACATTTGGTTTTATTTAAAATAGTATTGTGGCCTACTGCTAAGCAGGACCTAGCCCCCTCCCCAAAATAACACTCACACACGAACCATAAAGGTAGTAAAAAAAGGGACACAACTTTAATAATTAAAGCAGCAGTTAACCTGGTGAAGTATTGAGTTGGATCCTGCTCATTGGGGGACCCAAATGCCACCTGATGTTACCCACCATCTCCACAGGACCCTCCCTGTGGAGCCACTTGGAATGACAGATTTCCTGGAGGTATGTGTTTGTATGCCACTCCATGGCTCCTCACCATCCAGGGGCAAGGACTACTGTCCCCACCCAACTGGAACAGCCCCCCCACACACACACACCCATTTCCCATTTAGGGATTCCATACTGTCCGTGACCTGCAGGCCCAATGCCCCAAACTGCCCCACCAAGCTGGAATCACCAAGCCAGGAGGCAACAGACCCAGGGCTCACAAGTTCAGCTCATCCAGAGGCAACACATGCCATCCAATCCAGTTTGGGATGCTTCTCCTGCCTGCCCAACATAGCTGCATTGATTTGTGGATTGGATTTCAAAGGACACATGCAGATGGGAGAGTGAACTCTGTGTCTTCACTTGAGAGGCTACATGAGTGGCAAGAAAGCACCAGCAGTGTTTTGGTCCCCAGCCTGCTAGATTGCCTTTTTCTCACAACATAAACCTACTACAGCACATGAAGAGTTTGTATTTCACACTGCTAGGGATGGGCCTTTGAGGTTAAAAAGAAAGAAAAGGACACACATACAAAAGCGGTCCTTTTTCTCATTCTCCTGAGTGAATAATTCATATGAATAAAGAACGATACACAAAAGTTTCCTGTCTTTCTGTGTTTCTCTCTGTTAAACCTTTCTTTCATCCCTTTTTTTTTGGTCAAATCACCTGTTTGTTTATTTGTTTTTGGTCTAATAGCTTTGCCAAGAGCTGCTGTCCAGGAGTGGCAAAACAGGAATCAGCCTGGATTCACAGGAACCAGTGAAGAATGTCTTTGCCCATGTTCTTTTTGCTGCTGCTGCTGCTGCTGCCAGACAGCCTATCTATGCCAGCATGCCTCTGTGGAATTAAATATTGAGTGATTTCCCTGTTTTTTTGGGGGGGGGTATTTTCCTCTCTCCTCCCCCCCCCTTCTCTCGTTGATTAGTTTTGCTGCTGCCTGGGCCAAGCCAAAGTGCTGGATTTGAAGAAAAGACATCAAGTGACAGGAGAGAGAGACAGAAACCTCCCCATAATCTAGTAATTTTCGTTTGAGTGGATTGGAATATATTTTCCTCCTGTAGTGTTTTGCTTGCTTTTCTTGGTTTTGTGAGAGGGGACTGTGTGTGTATTTTGCATATTACTATTTCCCCCATGTGTGTTGGGGGAGCTGATTTAGATGTTTGCTTGATTTTTAAAACTCATTCTTTTGCTAATTTATTTGGTTAAATGTGTAGATTTTGGTGGGAATTGGGCACTTTTTTTGTTTGCTCTGGGAGGGATGCCACCTAGACTTGATGACTGTGCTGATATCCCATTGGGCTCTGTGGCTGCCTTCATAGGCCTGAGGATTATTTTTCTTTCTCATTTAAATGTACTGAATGAGGGCGAATAAACTGAATCTTAATCCACAGAAGACAAAAGTGCTCCTGGTAATTAGAAAGGCCAATCAAGGAATAGGGATACAGCCTGTGCTGGATGAGGTTACACTACCTCTGAAAACACAGCTGCACACCTTAAGGATGCTCCTGGATTACTCTCTGCTCCCAGATGCCCAGGTTTTGGCGGTGGCTGGGAACACATTTCCCCAATTAGAACTAGTACATCACCTCTGCCTGTTCTTGGAAAGGTCTGATCTGGTCATAATGAGATATGTCATAGTTACATCCCAGCTGGATTTTCACAAGACACTCTATATGGGTTGCCTCCGGAAAGTCTCATGAAGCTTCAGTGGGTCCAAAACACTGTAGCCAGAGTAATTGGGGCTGTTTACATGGGTCACATAACCCACACTATCCCTGGTTTACAGCAGTTCCACTGGCTGCTGATCCTTTTCCAGGCACAATTCAAATTACTGGTTTTAAAGCCCTAAACTGCTTTTATCCGAGCTATCTCAAGGACTGTCTCTACTTTTATGAGCCTGGCCAGGTGTTAAGATCATCAGGAGAGACCTTTTGGTCAGTCCCATCACCTTCACTGGTGTGTCTGGTGCAGACATGGGAGAAGGTTTTCTCTGCCACCACTCTTAGACTCTGGAATTTCCTCCCACTAGAGGCCAGGCTGGCCCTATCTTTGCTGTCCTTCTGCAAAGAGATGTAGACCTTTCTTTTCAAGAAAGCATTCCTTTAGTGATTGGAGATTTTTTTCCCCAGTAGATTGTTGTGCTTTATTGCTTTGTAGGTTTTTAGTGTGGATTTTATTTACCTTTTAAGTGTGAAAATCCACCTTAGGTCCATTTTAAGGAGAAGTGTGGGGTAAATATTTTAAATGAATGGATGACTAAATAAACGTACTTCTGCGTGCTTTGTTCTTTGTGTGTTCTTTGTTATAAGAGCCTTGTGGTGCAGTGGTTAAATTGCAATACTGTAGTCATGACTCTGCTCATGACCTGAATTCAAATCCCTGCTAAATCACCAAAATCCAGTGGAGAATATGACAATGAAAAAGAGAGGTTAATTACCTGTAACTCTGGTTCTTTGAATGGTCATCTGTGAATTCACACTAATGGGTTTAATCTGTACCTGTGCAGAGGTTTCCGGAATATTCTAGTGCTTAAACATGCATTTGCCAGGACCACCCCCCTAGTACACGTGGTCCACCCGTCCTGGTGATTGCCTCAGTTCCCAAACAGCCCACCGCTGTGTCAAGTGAAACAGATGTGACAGACAGAGGGGAGGACGGGTGGGAAGTGTGAATTCAAATATGACCACTCGGAGAATCAGAGCTACAGGTAACCTCTCTTTCTTCTTCGTGGTCTCTGTGAATGCACACTAATGGGTGACTAACAAGCTTTCCTGTCTGGAGGAGGGACATCATGGAAAAACAGATGACAAAACCGCTCGGTCAAAAGCCACAACCGACTTAGCCCAGAGGTCCACGTGGTAATAAGAAGCGAAGGTCAATGGGGTGGATCAGGTGACGGCCTTGCAGATGTCAGGGATAAGAACACCTCTTGGAAAAGCTGTGGAAGCAGCTACTTCCCTTATGGAGCGTGCTTTAATTCCAACAGGAAGAGGCTTCTTAGCAAGCTGGTAAGCTAGGCGTATAGTTGCCAAAATCCATCTAGAAATGGTTTGGGGAGAAACATGAGACCCCCTGTGTGGTACATGTGTAGAAATAAAAAGCCTCTTGCATTTGCAGTAAGGAGCTGTCCTAGAAACATAAAAGGCTAGAGCTCATCAAGAAGATGAAGAGAGTGTTCCAGGTCAGTGGATGGTGATGGAAAAAAGGTAGGTAAAATGATGGGTTTTTTAAAGGTGAAACTCAGAAAGGACCTTAGGAAAGAAGGAGACATCAAGATAAAGTGTAACTTTATTGGGGTGAAACTGCAAAGGGGGGGAATCAACTCTAAGAGCAGAAAGCTCTGAGGCTCTGCAAGTGGAAGTGATGGCAACTAGGAGGAGAGTTTTGAAAGAAAGGAAGCATTCAGATGTCTTGGTGAAAGGTTCAAAGGCAGGCAGTATCAAATGCTGCAAGACGGTATGTAAGGACCACTGTGGTGGAAGAGAGGGTCTGGTAGGTTGCGTATTAGGGACCCCTTGCAGAAACTGCTTCAGTGTGGGGTGCCGGAAGAGCATAGTAACATTGGGGTTCTGTGGTTGATGGGCCAATATAGCAGACAACTAGACTTTGAGAGTAGACAAGAGTTGGTGACTGAAGAGGTGAGAAAAAAATTGAAGGACAGCTTGAAGGATTGTTGGGGCAGTGGAAAGGTTATGCTGATTTGCAAATTTAATAAAGGTGGCCTATTTGTAGGTGTATAATTGTATAGTAGTGGGTTTTCTAGCATGAGCCAGAATAGTAGCTACAGAAGATGTATCCTCCATGCTGTGAGGTGGAGAGTCGGGAGGTCGGGACCGAAGGTTTGGCCCCGGTGCTGGGTGAGTAGGTAAGGTATGGGAGGAAGATTGAGTGGAGCATGGTGAACCAGGGCTGTCTGGGCCACCACGCGGTGATGAGGATCACATTGGAGTGTTTGTGGTGAAGCTTGATGATGGTTCTGAGGAGGAGAGGAATGGGGGAAAGAGGTAGATTAGGTGTGATGTCCATGGAGTCATGAGAGCATCTCCAAGGGAGCTGGGACCAATTCCTGCTCTGGAACAATAGAAAAAGCATTTTGCGTTTTTGGCTGTTACAAAAAATGTCTATGTGTGGTTGTCCCCACAGGTCGGTAATCTGACGGAAAATAAAATCATAAAGGGACCATTCGTGCATCTGGGAGTGAAATCTGCTCAGTGAATCTGGTAGTCAATTGTGTTTAGTGGAGATATGAATTGCTATCAGAAAGATGTGGCACTCGAGGCACCATTTCCAGATTTGCACCATGAGGTAAAGGAGGGGGATGTCATTAGTTCAGCCGAAGAAGGCCTGGAATCAGAGGGGTTAATTACAGCTGAGGAAAATGCTGGGCGGTTAGTATTGCAGACAGTTGAATCACCACCAGATTCTCCTCCCCCACTGGCCAGAGTGAGAGATAAGCTTTGGCAGAGACTCACAACATGGAGATCTGAGGCTCGCATGAATGCTTCTCACAGGAACATCAGGTCGAACAGCCCTGAATTTTAACATGATGGAATGTTTCTAGGAATTAGGTGATTGTTGCTGCTATATAATTTGTACTCAGAGGCTTGGAAGCTTGTGAAAGCAACAAGTCAATTCCCTGGCTCACATCCATGCTCCTGCTTACTCTCTTGACCCTCGGCTTTCGGACTCTGACTTCTGCCTACAGTTTATGTTTTGGCTTTGACAATTTGGCATCTGTTTTGTATCTCCCGGACTTCTGACTTTGGACTGGCTTATTGGACTTTCGCCTGCTGAATCCCCTAGGAACATGACAGATTGCTTCCACCACACATTCTCTCTATAAGATGGAATGGGCGAGACAAGCGAAGGCTCTGGGCAGCTGAATGCCGGGCTAACTCAGGTGCAGTATCTTACACAAATAGTGGGACAGCTTCAGCAGCAACAACTGCAATCTCAGGCCAACACTACTGCCCAGATTAAGTGCCCTGTGCTTCCTCCAGAAAAGTTTGGAGGAAAGGTGGAGTTTCCAGCATTCCTGGCACAGTGTAAACTGTATATTGAGCTGCGTGCCAGAGATTTTCCCATGGAGAAAACCGAGGCATGCTTCATATTGAGCCTTCTCAAGGGACAGGCAGCTAAATGAGCCACTCCTCTACTCCTTGCCCCTTCACCCCTGTTAACCAATTACCAGGGCTTTTTGGACCATACTTCAGCAGCTTTTGCTAATCCCTTGCAAGGTGCTACTGTCAATAGGAAGATTCAGGACCTGAAACAGGGTAAGGGTCCAATTCGTCAGTATTCCACTGAGTTCAGACTCTTGGCCCAAGACTTGGTCTGGAACGAGGCAACTCTCATGGACAAATATATGGAGGGGCTGGCTGGTGATATCCTGGATGAGCTGGCACATGTAGACTGACCCAATATGCTGCAAGAACTAATCACCCTGTGCCTTCGCATCAATGGCCAACTAGAGAGCCGGCGTCTAGTACAGGATGGTTCCCATCTCTAGAGCCACTCCTGGCACCTTCTAGCACTGGAGAAGAGGATTTTGAGCCCATGCAGTTAGCGGCTGCTCGGCCATGCCTCACCCCTGAGGAAAAAACAAGACTCAGTTCACAGAATCTCTGCCTGTACTGTGGGGGAGCAGGATACATCGCCTCTGGTTGCTTTGTCAAGCGGTGCACCCATGGTTCCATGCTACCAGCAGCAGCAAAAGATTTGCCCCATGTCTGAGTTGACCCTCAGATGTGGGGCACCTAGCCTATGTTAATATCCAAGGATTGACTTATTGGACTTTCACCTGCTGAATCCTAGGAATCCTGGGAATCTAGAACTGAGCCTATGTAGTTCACTCATTGTAGATTCGTTCTTGTTGACTCTCAAGCCCAGAATCTCAAGAAGGGAGAGAGTAAAATTTACATTGCATAGTGCTTGGGGATGGGTGGGGGCCACAAGCAACCAATCATCAATGTAGGGCAAGATGGATATTCCATGCATACGAATATAGGCTGCCACTGGAGCCATGCATTTTGTGAAGACACGAGGAGTGCTAGAAAGTCCAAAAGGGAGGGCTTTGAACTGGTAAATGATGTTTCTGAGGGAGAACCTGAGAAATGTCCTGTGATCTCGATAGATGGTGATGTGAAAGTAGGCATCACATAAATCAATGACTGCAAACTAGTCGTCCTCTTGAAGAAGAGGTAATATGTGCTCTAGGCTCACCATGTGAAAATGCTGTTGAATTATGTAATAGCTGAGGTCCCGTAGGTTGAGAATGGGATGGAGACCTCCATCTCTTTTGGGTACTGTGAAATATTGGGAAAAGAATCCCTGGTCGCTGTCTCATTGAGAGGCGATATAGCATTATTTGAGAGGAGAGATTGGATTTCTATTTGTAGACCGTGAGATGGTATGGTGAGAACTGTCCTTGGTGGTGGAAGGGATGCAAACTTTATTGCATAACCTATGGCAATGATGGTGAGAACCCAATTGTCTGTGGTAATAGCTGCCCAAGATGTAAAGTGGGTTGTGAGGCAGGTGGTGTGAGAAACTAAAGGATGAGATGGCGAGATCTGAGCCAGACGGAACTCAAAACTGTGTTTTTGTTTCTTGTCAGGTTTGTGAAAAGACTGATGGGGATGTTGTTGCTGTGTGGTATGGTGCTCTTGGAATGTAGAAGTAGCTTGTGGCAGGTATCTCTGTCAGCAAAGGATTTGTATTGTTGGTAGGAATAGGGTCAACGCCATTGATAGCATTGGGGTCTGTATTAAGGTTGTGTATTACAGGACCTTGTTGTTTTTCTCATTTTTTGAAGATTGTCAAGAATCTCATCCGGGACAGAAAGACTGCAATGGCATGGAAAAAGGTGTAGACTTGATTGTGTTTGGTAGGGGAATTTGTGAGAATTCTATTCTGTATCCATCTTGAATGATACTTAGGACCCATTCATCAGTAGTGATGTTGCGCCATTTGTGCAGGAATGGTGACAATCTTGTGGAAAATGAAGAGTTATGAGAACTGCTTACCCCTGTGCTGAGTCTCACGAAAGAACTGCTTCAGGATGTGGAAGCATTGTTGCTTGAACAGCGGAGTGGTGGATTGCTGGGTTTGATAAGTCTGGTCATGTTGTTGCCTACTGTACTGAGATGGTTGGTACTGAGTAGAGGGTACTGTGGCTTTCTGTAGGCTTGTTTTTGGTACCGATACGGCTGGTATGGTATGTAGGATTTTGCTGTCTTTCTCATTTTATGAATATTTTCCATGGTTTTGTCAGGTTTGGAGTTAAATAGTCCAGTGGCATCGAAGGGAAGCTCTTCAGTTTTCGTTTTGGTATCATCAAGGGTATTGGCTGTTCTAAGCCAGGCCTGGTATCTAACAGCACTAGCAGTCAGCATGGACTTGGAGGCAATGTCGGCTCTGTGTTTTGCAGCGAATCACTGTTTGGTGAGCATATTAGCCTCTTCGTAGACGTTAATGGGCTCTGCCTTTGGAGGATCAGGCAGGGATTGCAGCATTGGAACTATTTTGTCCCATAAGTGCTTCCGATAAGCACCCTTGGCTGCTTGGTAATTAGGATTTTTTATTAGTAGGGCAGCAAATGTATAGAGCTTTTTGCCGAAAGTGTCTGATTTCTTTCCTTCTTTGTCGATAGGCATGATATGTATAGAGCTTTTTGCCGAAAGTGTCTGCTTTCCTTCTTTGTCAATAGGCATGACTGACGATCAAGTACAGGATCTGTATTGAGTAGCTTCAACCACAACAGAGTTGGGCAAAGGGTGCTTGGTAAGGAAGTCAGAGTCCTCACCATGTGTCTTGTAATGGTGCTCAATTTTGCGAGGCACTTGAGCCATCGTAGGAGATTTGTCCCAAGAAGATTTTACCAGTTCGAAAAGAGCTGGAATAAGACTGATCTTAACACCTGGGCATAAAGGGAGACACAGTCCTTGAGACAGCTTGGACCCAAGCTGTTTAGAGCTTTATAGGTTAAAACCAGCACTCTAAATTGTACCTGGGCATATGCCATCATGGCCAGATCAGACCTGTCCAGGAATGGGCAGAGATAGCATACTAGTTCTAACTGTGCAAATGCACTTCCAGCTACCAATGAAACCTTGGCATCTAGGCTCAGATAATAATCCAGGAGCATCCCCAAACAGTGCAGCTGTGTTTTCAAAGGGAATGTAACCCCACCTAGAACAGGCTGCATCCCTATTCCTTGATCTGCCTTTCTACTGATCAGGAGTACTTTTGTCTTCTGTGGATTACCTTTCAGTTTATTCACCCTCATCCAGTCCATTACTGATGCTAGACACTAATCTAGAGCCAAAACACCTTCCTCAGATCAAGCATTCCATTAATGAAGATACTAACTTTGAAGTGAGATTATGAAGTTCTTACTGCACATAGAGATCTTCTATCTTGTCAGGATTCTTAGTGTTCTAATAGTTCTACATGACTAATCTATAATTGTAATAAAAACTGAATAACTGAAAGCAGGAACTTAGATATAACACACAAAGACATACCTTTGCATTCTGGTTCAGGTGACCATTTTCCACCAACACATTTTGTTGTATAAAAACCAGAATGACAGCTGTAGTTTGCAATCTCGTTATAGTTAAATTGCTTGTTAAGAGGAACATCTGGTACAAACTTTGTGTTTTTTGGCCGTCTACATTTTCCTGTAACATATAATGGTAGAAATACCACTCAGTCCAGCTGTTAATAATGTCCAGTTCATCAGATTCAATGCAACAAGTGTTGTTCAGTTAACAAATGCAGGGGAAAGAAGACAGGTGGTTTCTTATGTTTTAGACCTGCAAGTGGTCTCAGATTTTATTTTATTTCATATATTTATTTGGTTTTGGAAGACAATGTACAGCTGTTTTTACAAGGATGAGATGTGAACTACAGTGGTGCCTCGCTTAATGACGATAATCCGTTTCAGGAAAATCACTGTTAAGCGAAAACATCATAATGCGAAATTAAAAAAACCCAATGAAACGCATTGAAACCCCTTCAATGCGTTCCAATGCGGTCAAAACTCACCGTCCAGTGAAGATCCTCCACAGGGCAGCCATTTTCGCTGCCTGTCTTGTGAGGAATCCATCCCAGATAACAGCAGGGAGCCATTTTGTTTACCCAGTGGCCATTTTGAAACCGCAGATCAGCTGTTTAAAAACGTTGTTTTGCGAAGAATCGGTTCCCGAAGCAGGAACTGATCATTGCAAAGCGAAAAACACCCCATTTAGCCCATCGTTTTGCGACTGCAGAAAGATCGTCATAATGCGGTTTCGTCGTAATGCGGGGCAATTGTAAAGCAAGGCACAACTGTACAATTTTTTCCTACCACACTTTTTAACTTACGAGAAGTGGTGTGATGAACTACTTCCATCTATTTGGGGTGTTTGGCTTCCCATCACACTCTGTTTTGTTATTCTGGTGATGTTTTTTGTCCCTAGCAGGCACTGCCACGGAACCCTCTTACCACCCAGGTTCTCATTCATACTTCCAGTTTGCCTGGCTGTTTACCCTGCTCCATCATTGGAATGTTGACCATCACACTGCAGCTAAATCCTGCTATTTCCTCATTAATCTGAGGGAACACATATATCTTCCAGTACATTTACTCTCATACTCTCTCAATGGCAGTCTGTACATGGCAACATTGTCCATAAAACAAAGAGAGAAGCATAACCAATCCTGGGCATGTAACTCAAAACCCCAAGGCTGGTTCTAGCCTTATGATATGATTTTTGACTCACTGGATAAAATCCTGTTGCACAGTTGTGCAAAATGTGTAACTTTTAGATGGGAACTGCTGTAAGACATGAAATCTCCATAGACATTATGCAGAGTCACACAATTTAGTGTACTAGCTGTGTAATTATTGCTGCATGAGCATGCAGCAATAGATATTGTTCAGCAGCAGCATTCAGCATTCCATAAGCCAATTCAAAAAACTTGGGCTGTTCCAAACAGAAAAAAAAATTAACTATGAAATTGGACCCAGGATCAGCATCAAGTCTGGCACCAATGTAGCAGGAAGCCAGCTTTTGCTCTGTGCCAAATTTGGGGACATTTGGACAAAGGGATTTGAGATGATTTTTTTAAAAGTAGCACTATTTTTATTCCATGCAGAACAAAGCAACCTGGAGCTCCAGATGATTTAAAACAGATAAGACTAAATTTACATACTTGGGGGGGGATTAACCCTCCCAGCTGCTCTTTTTTATTTTATTTCCCAGACATTCAAGCATTCAGGCCTCTAGTAAACAATTTACCATTAGTGCTTTAGATACTAGAAAAAGTTTGAGATTGCTGGCCCTCTTATAACTTTCCAACATTCTATATGGATTAAACTTTTGACATGCCACTTTGAACACCATTCAAGGACTAGGAAATAAAACAATTAACTCCTTCCTGGCCAAACATTTTAACTCCTTCCTGTGAAAATATTTAAAAATACAGTGGTGCCCCGCATAGCGACGTTAATCCGTTCCAGGATTAACGTCGCTATCCGGAAACATCGCTAAACGGAAAGAAAAACCCCATAGAAATGCATTCAACCCTGTTTAATGCGTTCCTATGGGGCAAAAACTCACAGTTCAGCGAGGATCCTCCATAGGGGCGGCCATTTTCGCTGCCTCGGTAAGTGAGGAATCCGTCCAGAAAACAGCGGGGGGGGGCATTTTGGAACCGCAGATCAGCTGGCATTTCCCCCAGCTGGCCAGCGGGCACTTCAGAAGGAGCCTCCGGAGGAAGAGGAGGAGGTGAAGCGGGACGGGGAGCCAGGCACCCGGCCACTCCAGGGCCCTTTCCCTTCCCCCTCCCCCCTCCGTCCCCCCAGGAAGAGCAAGCCGACGGCTGCCAGCTTTTGGAAGAAGGTGAAGGGGAGGCGGAGCCAGGCCCCCCGCCACGCCAGGGCCCTTTCCCTTCCCCCGCTGCTGCCACCGCCCTGGGAGGAGTGAGCCAGCCGAAGCGCCGCTCGCTGCTGGCCTGGGAATGAGCGCCCCCCGCCGCCTCCTCGGAGGAAGAGGGCTCCCCCGCAGTCCTTCTCAAGTCCCCACCGGAATTTTCCCCCAGCAGACCGGTGGGAGCTTGAGAAGGACTGTGGGGGAGCTCTCCCCTGCGGTCCTTCCGATGCCCCTGCTGGTCAGCTGGGGTAAAATGGGGCCTATGGGGAAAATCGCAAAGCAATTTTTCCCTGTAGGGGACATCGCAATGCGATCGCTTTTGTGATCACAAAATCCACATCGGTATGTGGATTCGTCGTTAAACGGGCCACCTGTTAAGCGAGGCACCACTGTATGTACTTTTAAAAAATAGAGGATACTATTCAGCAGCTCACTCATTCAAGCTATGAAATTACTGTTTTTCTGTTTTGTGGCAGTCATCTCAAAGCAAGTTTTATCCGATTTACTTGTGAATAAGTTCACTTAGTTTACTCAAGAGTAGAGAAGCAAAAGCAGCCAAGGCTGGCTGCAGCGTGAGGGGAGAAGGTTAGGGAGATAGAAGGGAACTGCCCCTCTTTCCCTCCTGCCTTTCTCACTCTGTATGAATTTATGACTTTCAAAATGTCATAACATTAATATCTTTGTTCCAGTCTTCTAAACCAAGAGCATTTTAGGTTGGGCTGAAATTCAAGCTTATTGAAAACGAGACCTGACATTCACACAAGCATGGGTGTGTGTGTGCCCTGCCTTTCCCAACCGCTCTGCAGGGTAAAACGTTTGGGGACCCCTGCTGTGGACCATCTTGGCTGTTGCCATGTGTGTTGTCAGCCTTCAGACTGCCTTTTGCTATTTAAAGCTTGGCATCCTTTTTCCTGCTGGCAACACAGGGACAATATTATGGAGCAGTATAGGGCCATTTCCTGGCTTTTTGAATTATGGTTACAGAACCACAATATCCCACATTCATAAACCAGAAATTTATTGAAGATCTGAATATATGATATTAGATGTCCCAAGTTCTAGGTACAAAAACATTAATAATGAAAGAGAAGGAACCTCGCTGGTCAGTCATTACATGGAAGACAACCATGCTGTAAAGGATGTATAGTTCCGGGCTATAGACACTGTCCATGCAAGTAATGATAAGGCTTAGTGAAAAAGGGAGATAGACTGGATACTGAGACTGGGTATGCTAGCCCTACAAAGGTTAAATGAAGAAACAGATTTTCTCTTTCTTCTTTAGCACTTAGGCAGAAGTCTATTGCTTAGTCAGAGTGACGCTGAATCATTGCTGTGGAAGATAACATGCAGAAATGGAGGACCCCCATCCCAAACCCAACCCCATATCATAACTAATCTGGTTGAGCTGTGCAGTGACCAAATAAAAAGTCTAAAATGAAATCTAGGGTATGTATGAAACACAATGGCTACATTTTGCATTTACATAAAACAATACACTGGATAATTATTCTCGTTGTGAACAATGTATAGAGTCTTAAATTGTTATATGTAATGCAATGTATAAAGGTTAAAATGGCAATATGATGTTAGCATTAAAGTCATAATAGAAACTTTCTCCTTACGAAACCTAGGACCACAATCTCCAGTGCAGTAAGACACATGTAGATAACTGGAATACTTACAGGAAATATATTTACGTGTTGCATATAATTACATAGTGCTCACAAGAACATAAACATTTAGCAGTCAAACGGACAGAACTTAAGCATGACAGTCAAACATGAACTGTAAAGAAACACAGTAGCTAGTCCTTAATTTATACTCCCTTCAACCAATCAAATTAATGGTTTACTTCAGGATAGCTTATTTCACATGGCTGTGTTTTACCAGTCACGTAGACAGTGACTAATTAACTCCACCTGTACTAACCAATTGCTAATTACAATACTATTTCTTAAAGACCTAAGATGTTGTCCCACTTTTTTGTTTCATTCTTTTGTGTTCACTTTGTACTGCCCTTGAAGAAGGCCATAAAATTCAGGATGGAATGCACTGGGTATTTTAAACTGAAATAAAGGGAGGTGTTGTTTTTTCTTTTTCTTTTACATCTGGAGGCTGCGATTTCCCTTTCAGAATCAGATTACGCAAAGAGACTCATTATGTCATCATGACTTATCACAACCCTCTCCCTCTACCAGCCAGCATAGACATAAAGGAAGAGTTCTGTCACCTAGTGCTTCTCTTCCTCATCTTCCCATTTCCTCCTCCCAGCACAAGACAAACACAGGGTGGAGAGGCTCCAGCAGCTGCTGCCGTGTTTTTGTGTGAACATGCCTGTTGGGGAGCACCAGCCATCATGATAACATGCAGCAAGTCAAAAGAAAAGAGAAGGAACAGGGAAAGGGAGGAAGAATGAGACTAGTGTGGAAGTGACTTGTGATAATCTGTAGTAGGAAAGACAAGGGAAAGAAATTGGCATAGAGGAAAAGTGGCTGGTGTGATGACGGCCCAACCTCAATTTTCCTTCGGTTAGCAACTGGCAATGGAAAAGAACTCATCCCCTGAGAATCTCATCAGACATTTTCACTTAAATGACATGCTTAGTTTTTGAAATGCTTTACAGAAAGGACTGGGTAACTTTTTGCCAGATGCAATGCTGGTTGGTCTTTGGGGAGGTGCATCACACCTACGCACAGCCAGGGACACCTACACCAATGTGCACAATATGGGCACAAACACAGGCACTTCCTCTCCATGTCCTGCTGGTTCTTCCCCTGGATGGAAGGAGCAGCTCATTCCTCAGCCTCCTCCCAAAACTACTGGGGAGATGAGAGGAGATTCATGGCAAAGAGGAGTCTCACTTCCCTACAGCAAGGTGGACACTGTGGCGGGGAAATGGCACATGCGGTTGCTCTGTTTGCACACCCCTTGTCCCAGCATGACAGGGCTGTCAGGAGCCTGCTCACATTAAGAGAAAAGGTTAATGCCCACCACATGTGCCTTCTTTTCCAATATTAATGGACACCTGAAAGCCAAATCATGCTGGGAAAGACTGTTCTCAAAGTGAGTCTTTTCCCCACATGCTATTTATTTTTCAGTACAGTGAAGGCTGTTAAAATAACTGATCTGTGGGCTATCTCAGTGTGGAGGGATGACTGCCCCTCTGTGCCCTCTTTTTCAGTCACACCAGTTTCCTGGTGCCATATTATAGATCAGTTCAGCAGGTTTCAAGAGTGTCTCTGGCCTCCGATTGCTCTGGAAAAACACAGAGTGACAATCATCAGCCCCATGCTTTCAAATACAGTGATGGCATCAAGGAAGGAATTTCAGGGACAGGTTACAGCAACTGAGGACACTCACAGCCTCCAAGGGCAACATATTGTGTGCATGTTATGGTACTCAATGTGGTAAGAAATACTGCATATGGTACTAAATTCAAGAAGTGTCTACGGGAATTCTAACAAGTTTATTTGCAATGTTGTTGCTTACCAGTGCATAAAGGTAACTCCCACTTTCCATGAAGACACCTGGCTGTAACAGGTCCAGGAATGGCAATTTTTCCTGTACATTCATAATCAACAGTTTCATTATGCTTGTATCTCTGTGCGTCAACACTGACAGGCTGTCCAGACGCAATACGGGTAGGTCGTCCACAGGTTTTTGATTCCTCTGTTGGAAACAGAATAAGAAAATGTGAGTAAAAATTATTGATTATTACTAATTGATTTACTGTTAACATGATATTACTGTTTTGTCAATGTTTGCAGCATGCTAATAGACAATTTGTATGAAACATGGAAATAAACTGACATTAATCTATGGTGGGTGCAGCAATTCTAGATGTTGACTGAAGAAAGATGTCAATGGCATAGGCCCTCCCTTTCATCATCACTGCTGGCAGAAGGGTGATCTGCTGGTGGGGTGGAGTGGGTGAGAGCAAGGGCACTGGCCCAGGAGCCCTTATTTGTGCAGCTGGTCTTCCCACCAGAGCTAGATCTTGAAAGAGGGCATCCGAAAGGTCAGGCAGTAGTGAACTTAAGATAGGTTACTGCCCACCCACCTTTCCCAGCTACAGCAGCCTAGAATTGGGATACCTCATTCAGCCCTCCAGCATTGCTTTTAGGTTAAGAATTTCTGGAAAAAATCCATCAAGCTAAGAAGACAAACAATGGGATCTGGAAATGGCAGACAGTTCATCCAAGCTCTCCATCTCCATTTGAGACAACACCTGGATGGCAGATTCAAGAGGCACACAGATCACCTGCTCACAGTTTGCCTCACTTTGGAGAGATGCTGTGCAATGCTGCTTAAATTATAAAAATAATTTCACATTTTGTATCTGTACATATAATTTAGCATACACAATTTGTTGTAAATCAGTGTTTAGTTTTCTCCTCATTTTTAGTTGCTTTGTTAAATAGCCAGTCTAGTATCAGGAAACTGAAAGACAACAGTCTGTTCTGTTTTCAGTGAAAGCCTATATCTCAATTCGCTACAAAATCCTTACTGTAATTATTTGATGCATGATGCTAAACATCCTGGAGTTTTGGTTTAAACACAGGGTTTGAACTGTAAATCAACAGGAAGCACTTCTCACAGTCTTATTCATACTGTGGAAATTAACCCATTCTCCATTTCCAATATTCTCCTTCCCTTCTGTTGAAGAGAACTACTATTTTCACTTCTCTTTTTCATCCACTGAAAGATTCTTGTGTACCCAGAAAACAAAACTTATACAGCCTCTGCAACTAGTGGGAACTAAAGGATGATGGAAACAGGTCTGTCAGCACATAAATCCTTGTGAACAATTTGTTCCTCCAGCAATGATTTACCTGTGCATGAGGGCAAAGAGGTCCATTCCCCATCAACACACTCTATTGTGTTTGGTCCAGTCATTGCAAATCCAACATCACACTCATATGCCACTTTCTCACCATGTTGGTATTCTTCACGCAATTCACCATAAGCAGAACTGTGTGGACTTGTAGAGTTTGGCTGTACACAAGGGTTGACCGTTTCTAGAAAAAGGAGAACATCATTAACTTTGAACCCATTTGCTCCAAATAAATCCCCATGAGGCTTATTTCCACGTAGTTATCCTTATAATAAAAACCCATCGACCAATTTATAATGACTGCATGCACTGGATTTCAGTGAAGTCAGATGGAAACATCCAGATAGAAAAGCTTCTGTCTGATTCCTGGGTTGTGAAAGAAGTTGTGCAGGAATTGTCATTATGTTGTTAGCAGATAAGTGTGGAGGAGTCCCAAGTGGCAATTTACCTCAATATGCATTTAAATGCACAGTGAATCAGTTATCTGTTTCTATATTATGAATGCTACAGTGAATATTACTCTTTCTATTTACTATTATTTATTTATTTAAAATAATTCGACCATGCCTTTCTCAAGAGGACCTAAGGCAGTTTACAATATTATAACAAACAATATTGAAAGCCCCCCTCAAAAATCATTCTTGAAATATTTATAAAGAATTAAACATATATCAAATTAAAAACTGGGGGATAAAAACTATTCTAAAGAAGCAACTGCATTTGAAAGGCAGACATTACTGAGAAAAAGACTAATTGAAAAGTATTTGCCTACTTATAGAAAGAGAGCCAGCCTGGCCTTATGAGGGAAGGAGTTCCACAGATTAGAAGCAATGACAGAACAGATTCTCTCTTGTGTCCTCACCAAATGCACCCATGAGGTGATGAGACTGAAATAAAACCAGAGAAGGCTCATAATGGGAGACATCATTTTTCAGATGCTTTGGATCTAAGTTATTGAGGCCTTTATGTAAGGTTTGTGCATGTTTGGTGTGGAATAAAGTGAAGGACCAGAGAGAGAGAGTTAGGACACAAAGATGGATACCAACAGAACCAGAGGAACTACGGGACTTTATATTTATGCCTATAAACCCTCATTGTGAGAAATTCAACTCTTGAACTGTGAACCTTTTGAACTATGCTTTCAGTAAGCTGACAAAAACCATCTGCTACTAGTTGAGGGAGGAGAGCAAACTCGGGGATTAAGAAGACCCTGGTATAAGGATCCTCCAGAGCAAGCAGATTCCACACCTGTCCACTAAGTGACGGAAGACCCATTAAGTGTAACTAAAAGCATTGCGTACTTCACAAGAGATGATAAGGACCATATGTCCAGAGAAAAACGAAGAAGCATTTAATGTGCATGCTGAGCTAGGAACCTGCTACAAAAGAATATAAAAGGAGGGGACTGGGCAACCATAATTTGTCTGCTGAGACCATAAGGCTTTTGTAACAAACTACTTTCTTTGGAACTTGGATGGTGCAAATCAAGAATTTTTCTCTCTTTGGTGAGTATGCATGTGGTGTGAATGTGTTGAATGCATAAAACCCCTTTTATTAGATTTGTAGCCAATAGGTGAATACATCATGCGAAAGGCAGGACTGGATGAATCCCAAAACAGAATTAAGATTGCCTAAAGAAATATCAGCAAACTCTGATATGCAGATGATACCACTCTGATAGCAGAAAGTTAGGAGGAATTAAGGAGCCTTGTAATGAGGGTGAAAGAGGAGATTGCAAAAAAAAAAAAAAAAAAGGG